CTACTAGGAGCAAGGACGCTACTAGGAGCAAAGGGCATCGCTACTAGCAGCAAGGACGCTACTAGGAGCAAAGGGCATTGCTACTAGCAGCAAGGACGCTACTAGGAGCAAAGGGCATCGCTACTAGCAGCAAGGACGCTACTAGGAGCAAAGGGCATCGCTACCAACAGCAAGGACGCTACTAGGAGCAAAGGGCATCGCTACTAGCAGCAAGGACGCTACTAGGAGCAAAGGGCATCGCTACTAGCGGCAAGGACGCTACTAGGAGCAAGGACGCTACTGGCAGCAAGGACGCTACTAGGAGCAAAGGGCATCGCTACTAGCAGCAAGGACGCTACTAGGAGCAAAGGGCATCGCTGCTAGGAGCAAGGACGCTACTAGCAGCAAAGGCATCGCTTCTAGGAGCAAGGACGCTACTTGGAGCAAAGGGCATCGCTACTAGGAGCAAGGACGCTACTGGGAGCAAAGGGCATCGCTACTAGCAGCAAGGACGCTACTAGGAGCAAAGGGCATCGATACTAACAGCAAGGACGCTACTAGGAGCAAAGGGCATCGCTACTAGCAGCAAGGACGCTACTAGGAGCAAAGGGCATCGCTAGCAAGGACGCTACTAGGAGCAATGGGTATCGCTACTAGCAGCAAGGACGCTACTAGGAGCAACGGGCATCGCTACTAGGAGCAAGGACGCTACTAGGAGCAAAGGGCATCGCTACTAGGAGCAAAGGGCATCGCTACTAGGAGCAAGGACGCTACTAGGGGCTCCTGGCCTTACTACTAGGAGCAAGGACGCTACTAGGAGGTCCAATACCCTGAGGCTCAATGCTCTTGGATTGCAATGATCTTACGCGTACATGGGTTGGAGCCAATCTTCGCTGCCAAGGCGCTTAAGACGCCCAGCATGGTACAGTCGCACAACTATGGAGAGATCAGGCTTAGTAAAACCTTGTAAAACCAGAATCTGATAACTTTGGGGTCAATTCCAATCAAACAGTCAGCGCACAAAAAAATAGTAGTTTTGAACTTCGACTTTCAGTCAGTGTGATCGCAGGTCAGCTGAAACCTCATTTAGCTTCAACGTTGAGCACTGATTTGTGGCGAATTGCTTATGCGGCAGCTGTGGAAGGAATTGGCCAAGAGAATGCTGCATGTTCAGCGTCATTATTGGTTTGTGATGTACATGTAATTATACATATATATATATATATATGTGTGCGTTACAGATGTTATTCCAATGTCTTTGATTTTATTGTAGCTAGGACATGCCAGGAAGAATTGCGGAACAATCCATATTGTATCCCCTTCCGAAGTAATCTCCACTGCAATTGAGGAGACCGCGCGCGAGCAGAGCAGTTCTGGCAAAGCACGGAAGCTCCGGAGACCAAGTTTCTTGGACGAGTCGAGAGGCGGAGCCACTGTGAGTTGAGAGAATTTTGCAGAATGGTTGGCAACTGGCAACATATTTTGTCCACAAGGAGCACTCTACAATTCTACAATCTGTAGCGTATTTGCAAGGCTCCATTGCCGCTCAGGACCGCCATGGAGCGATACACCATTTGCTTACTCCGAAGTTGGCTGGGAGAATTGGAGTTACTGGATGATCAAGTGGAGCTCGTGCAGGATTCAAAATTAGTCACGTTAGCCTAGAGGGAAACAAGGTGAGCCAGAGGACCCCAAAGCGAAAAGAAGCGCACAACCCAGGAAAAATAGACAAACACACATTAGCAGGCCAAAACGAAGCATCAGCCCCCCTCCAGGCTTCGTGGCAACCATGCTATTTCAAGCATCCGTCCACCCCTGTCTGCCATATACACCCCCGTCCACCCCTTGGTCAGTTTTGAAAGCCCTCCAAAACGGTCATAAGACGATTGCAACATGGCTTCTGACAACCGTTCCAGCAAGCATGGAGCAGCATCAGCCCCCTCCATGGTTCGTTCCAACCATCCAATGTCACGCACTGCGCTTTTGGCACGCAACAATCCTGCCGTGTTGGCCATGACTTGACTGTCTGGCACATGCATTGTGAACATTTTGGACACCCAACACCATCGTATCAGCCCCGCAACACAGCTCCACTCACCTCCCAACGGGCTTCCGCGAAGCATGGAGCAGCACTACCCCCACCCATGCTTCGTTC